AAGATAGAGGTTGGTTAAAAATTTTTGTTTGAAGTTATTATTGAGGAATTGAACATTATGAGTAGTGACATTTAGGGTAGTGGAATTATTATTATTATTAAGATTAGTAAAAAGGTTATTAAGAGTAGTCTGACTTTCTATATTTGAATTATTGATTGCATTAATCATGATTTATAAAAATTTTGATGGGAAAGAGGTAAACACATTATGTTCATTTCTGAGATTGATGATTGGTATAACTAAAACTTTGACCGGCATGATATCACTAATTACATTTGCCTATTATAAGGCTTATTGCATTTGAGCTACAGCTTGAAAAGCATAATTAAGTTTCTTGACATTGAGCTTAAGGTTTTCTTTAAGAAAATTATTTTCTTTAGAAAGACGTAGAATTTCATTATCATCTACGATAATTCTTACATGATATGATTTCTCATCTTTGTAGCTATCATCTTCTATTGCAGATGACTCATTAAGAACATTTGCATTAGATTCAATAAGCATTAAGATACCAATGGTAGATTCTACTGTAGACACATATTAAATGGAGGTGAATCCTAGTTTTCATTAGGTTTGAGTTGATCATATGAGTAGTATTCTTCCTCATATATATCAGACCAGTTTGATTTAGCATGAATACTACTATTCAAAGTTTTATTATCCTTCTTATTTAAAGGTCTTAGTAGAGGATGAACTGGTAAGTTAGTATTAGTTGAAATTAGTTTCAGTTTAAGATTATATGTTTGTTGGTTCCATTATTTAGGTTTATTAAAAGGAGGTCTATGATTATCTTTACTTTGTTGATATGATGTAGTTGAAATTGTTTAGATCTGTATTGAGGTACTTTATAGTTGCTAAACTGTGCTGGTTTGAAATGTTGATAAAGATTTTGTGATTATCGATTATTGAAAGTTTTGTGACTATGATGACAGTTATTGGATTGATATCCAGGAACTGAGTAAATAAAATACAATTTAATATTGGATTCAGTCTAAAATAGACGTTTTTGATTTAAGAAGAAAGTTTCTTTATTTTTAACAGAATCAAGATCTCTTGAGATTTGAAGTAAAAGACTATGTATTATAAGTTTTGATAATTAGATTTGGCTTTAGATATTACCTAAGCCTAAGCCATAAAGTTTACTGTGTGTCTAATTGGAATGAGTTGTCTATTATTTGTATTGATGGGAAGATTAGTAAACTTTAAGAAGAACTTGGATTTTTTACGGACATTATCATGTAAGAGAATACATAGATGTATACGAACTAAATCTTTTAAAACAAAGTAGCTGTCAACCACGAAATGATCTTGTAGATTGATTTTTTGTTGATATACTGATCCGATTTTGACAAAAATACTTTTACTGAACTTTTCACTTCAAACGCTCAAAATACTTCACTTTAAACATCTTTTATTTCTTAAACAAAAAATTTTAACACTTTTGATATTAAAACTCCAAACTAACAAAAAAATTTTCTTCTTCTTCTACAAATAATTTAGAAAACATTATTGAAAACATTATTCTTACCCCTTCCAATAATCAAACTATTGACTCAGATATACTAGTTATTATTTCTAAAGTCTCAAATAAAAATAAAGAGGACTTTATTATGAAAATAGATAACCTATAACCTCTTGTTTTAATTGACTAAAGCACAAATGACTCTATGCACGCTACTCCTTCAAACTCTATCTCCTCTTCTTTATCAAATAATTTGGACACTCAAACTTCTAATATCAAAGAAAAAAAGAAAGTAACCTAAGATAAAGACTTTGAACCTTACGAATAATATATTATCGATAATAATGATGATGTCAACAATGAATTTTTTATTATTATTACTTTACCAATGTGTTTTTATGCATCTATTAATACTAAAGATGTTACTGGTTCATCAATCGCAGAAAAACATTATATGATCAACAAACTTTTCAGCTACTTTAATGGATACAGAGTTTGTATTACAATATAAGACAAAGAAAATTCTATATTTATTTTTATACTTAGACTCTCTAACACAAGCAATCAGAAAACTCAATACAACCCAATCTTTTTAGTAATTGACCCTAATGCTAAACAATAATGTAAAGACAATGAAAAAGGCAGATGCATTAAAGTCAACAATATTCCTCTATTTGTAAAATCAGATATTGTACAAAATGTCTTTGAAAAATATAGAAGGATCTGCAGATTTTTAATGATCATCAGAGGTCCTTGCAAATTGCTTTTATCATATACAAATCACCTGACTCTATCTAACAATTTTACGATACCACTTGATCTATCTTACTAATAGAATTTTCATTAGAATCAAACCTACTGACATCAATAAAATTCAAACTGCTATTCGTCAACAATTTGAACTTAAACTTACTAGACTCTCCTTTAATACTACCCAATTAGATCTATCAGATTTTTTGACTCAGATCAAAGCAAAGTCATGCTTTATTCCAAAAGACAAACAATATTATTTCAGACATATGTGTATATTAACTTTAATAATATTGACAACTACAATAACGCTTTTAACTTACAATAGAAATTCAAAAATCGTATTTTATTTTGGGTTACTCCTGGAATTCAACATTGTAATTCCTGTGATTCTCCAGATCACGAGATCCAATTATATGATAATCATTCTCGTTTCAATCCTTTTAAACCTCTTTATGATAGATTCAAACCAGCTCAATACAAATCTAAACCTTTCATACTAAGACCTAATATTTCACGTAATTACAAGTCAAATAATCAATCAAAATGACCCTTCTATTCTGACTCTATTCAAAGTAGAAATGATAATTAAAAGAATCACTTAGGTAAACAAAATCAAACCCTTCCTACCCCTCCTCCAACTGTTGAATCAAGATCTAATTCTAGTTGTGCTTACACAGAACAGTTTCACATCTCAGGGAATGAAGTTATTGTGTACCCAAAAAATACACCTCTGTCCCCTAACCAACGATTCACTTTGCATTTTTATAAATTGGTAGCAAAGAGATAGCTTAATCATAGTTGATTTGAATTATTTTCTTTTTCCAAAGATTTATTTTTTTTATTTTTATTTTTTAACCATATTTGGTGTATCGGAAAAATAAACAAATCTCATATTACTAAGTCCATTTCAGAGTAATATTAATAAAGTTTGGCCATTAACTTATGTATGCGTTACGATCACTACCTAAACTGATAAACATATTATGCTACGCTGCTACATTTCTTTTTCTCGCACAAATGTTTCTATTCAAGGTTTGAATCCTATATTATTATAATATAACTTGATAAAGAATCACAAGTTGATGAAATCGCTATAAACACGCTATAAATCTCTTAATCACTAAAATCGTTAATTATGGTTAAACTTATACCCCTACACTGAAAATTCTGTGCGAAAAAATGCATAGATAATCCACGTGTATAACTATTCACATGGTTTGTTGGATATCATTTTTTTCAAGGAGTTCAGGAAGATCAATGATGCGATCTTGGGGATTCTTGATTCCTAGATACTACTATAAATATAGCTTTAGAAATTTTTATGCAACAGTTATTCAGCAAGCTTACAGGAATTACGAAAATTGTAATTTACGTATTTTATACATTTATCATTATTGATCAATTGTACTATTAAAAAAAATTTAATATTGGATTGATCGTTGATCAATTGTTATGCTAAAGTTAAAAATTTAAGTTAATTAATTAGTAATAAAAAGCTTATTAATCTTGAATAGTCTAATTTTATTATAGTCTGTTTATTACCATAGTCTAATTTTATTAATAATCTAATTGACGAATTGACGAATAAAAAGGCAGCGAATTCATACACAACAAATACACATTCTCTACTTCTAATTTCATAATAAAAATTTTATAATAATAACTTATGAAGAGAAGTAAAACTCACCACCACCGTTCTATTAGTTGAGGTCAGGACAGGAAGCAAAACTCACTACCACCATTCTATTAGTCAGGACAGGAGAAGTAAGATTTTACCGCCGTCATCGCTCAATTAGTGGCAGATCATCAAGTCGTAGTAGCTGAACTTATTGTATCAGATTGGAATATTATTTTATAATATATTATCTTTCATAAGAAAGGCCAATTGTAAATGTAATAATTGTATGATCCTTTAAAAAAATTAGGAAAGAAAGTAAATGGTATTTTTCTTAGAAAGGAATGTGAAAGATTTTATCTATACACATAGGCAGTTATGTGCCAATAGTATAAAAATTGGCTTTCAATCCAAATGATTTCAACCTTCCAAAGCACATAGGGATAAAATAAAATTATTTACTGAATTGAAAAATGTTGTATGAACCGTAAAGTGATTTTGAAAAATATCGTTATATTCCAATATTGTGGAAAAATAAAAAATTATCGAAGTATCGAATTTTTAATATATATCGATAAAGATCGAGGTCAGACTGTAAATTGACATTTAGAGATAAATTCATGGTTAAAAATTTGGTATACTAATTAATGATGCTGTTCGAAACCTGTAGCTTAAAAATTTAGAAACTTTTCGAAACCTTTAAAATGATTTTTCATGATTTTATGATTTTTCAAATAAATAGTTTTAATCTCAAACATCTCGAAACTCAAAATTGCCTAAAAAATAGTTTAGGGAGGCTTTAATCATTAGAATAAATAGTTTTGCAGAGTACGAATCCGGAGCTCATTAATTTTCGTTAACTCACTAATTCAAATTTTGAAAATTGATTAGGTAAGTTTTTTTAACAATGGCTTACTTAGTAGGCTTAAAGAGAGGAAAAAAAAACAATGGTAATCATTACTATGCGTCATTTAAAGAGAATTAGTTTTCTACCGATCTCTGGATGTTTAAAAGTTCTCTGTCCTATTAAGATATCAAAAAAAAAAAAAAAAAAAATAATGATAGGATGAACCCTATTTATCGGATCTTTTAATAACATGATTTGAAAAATTTACAAATTAGGGAAGTATATAAATATCAAAAAAAAAAAATTTTTGCGGTTGAATAAAAATGGAAGATAATGATATTATTCAGTCACTAAATTCTACAGTAAATTCGATTGTTTCTAATAAGACTTCCTCGTCTTCTACCTCAACTCTTTCGACAACTTCAACAACTTCAAGCGATTACCCAGTTCCAAATTATTCAAAGTCAAATTCTTCTCAACATAAAAATAATAATAACTATAAGTATCGAAAAGAAAATGGTAATAACAACCATAAGTACCGTTCACAAACTAATTCCTCACCAAATTATTCTCTTTCTCAACAACCTCATTACCACCATAAAAAGAAATATCGAGATCCTTCATTTATACCAAGAGAATTTCAATTTTCTCCAAAAGTTCCTTGTACATTAATTGATTTTGTCGGAGGTGTAAATTATACTCAATCGCATGATAATGGTGTAATATTTAATCGTGTTGTAAATTTTTTTAGAAATATAACTACTACTATTGAACAAGAAGAAAAGTTATTAGATTTTAATTTCTTTCTCAGAGAAAGATCAACCCACAACAATTCAATTACTAATTCAAAAGAAGGATTTTATGTTACTATTACTCAATCGGATCCTACGCGTTTTCCACCCGTTAAAAGACGAAATTGTTTATCATGCGATACGGAGTCTGAAACAAATCTCTTTTCGAAATTAGCATATCCATTAACAACGCGTGAAGAGGTTTCCATTTGTCATAATTTATGGTTCGATGCAAAAGCAAGACCAATGTTTATTATTACACCAAAACGTCATATAGAACGTTTATCTGATTGTAATGATCAAGAAATTTTTTCAATGTTCTTATTAGCTGTACAGACTATTGAACAAGAAACTCGTATTTCAAACGCTCATTGGAATGGTATTAGGTTTGTTGGTATGACTTTAAATCATGGTAATGCAAGAAATCTTGAACATCTTCATTTAAAAATTAGAATAAATGGTGGAGATTTTGATCATTTTAAAAAATTCGGTTGGGATGATGAAAAAATGGAAAGATTTAAAATTTTAAAAAATGGAATCTACAAAAGAGATGAAAGATTGAATAGAATTTCTTAACCGGGAATATCATCATCATCTTAATCACAGTTTATTTATTATTGAACAATAGAATCATTATATACAAATATACGTTGTAAACCTAAACGATGAGTTCGGCTGCTTTTTCCAATGCATTTTTATAAGCTCCTATGAGTGCTGCTAGTTGAATCATATCATTTCCACCACCATTGATATTATGCCTATTTTAAATTAATATATTATTAGAAAATGTTAACATTTAAATTAATTAAATAAAATATTACAGAAAATATTTACTCTATTATTCGTAACTTTTTAAAGAAATAAGCCAATACTTCATTATTAAACGGGAAATTATGCATTTTAAAATAATTAACCACTTCTGTTATAATATCATTCAAAGACATGCTTAATACTTCCATCATTCTTTTAACCTCTGTAATCGAAATGAAGTTAACTCGATTCCTTCATAATATTCTTTTTCTATTTCTTAATCACTTACTTGAATATGATGTACTAAAATCATCATTTGACAGAGAATTCATTATAATTTCAATATCTTTCGGATGAGGATATCCCGTGCAATTATAAATCACTGATTCATCAATGATATCACGTGAAGAACACGACTACAAAAAAAAAAAATTTCATTAAATAAAACTTTGTGTCTTTTTTGAAAAAACACAAGGTATTAAAATTACCTGAAGAACATTTAACGCTCTTCGCATATCGCCGCCACATAATTTCAATAATGCTTGGATCCCATCTTTAGTGATGTTTACACTAAATTTAATAAAGATCTAATCAGTAAAAAAAAAAAAAAACTGATAAATATAATATTCATATTTACTTTTCTACTTTTACAATTTCTTCAATACGTGATTTAATTTGGTCCTGATTTAATGGTCTAAATCTGAATCGTGTACATCTCGATTGTAATGCTGGATTTAATCGTTGAACATTGTTACAAATGAAACAGAACCGAACATTTTTCGCGTAATCTTCCACAACTTTAAAAGTATCATATATTGTTATTTTAATAAAATATAACGAAAATCAACATTATACAAAAGAAACAAACTTCTTCTCAACGCGTTTTGTGCTATGTTCGTCAACCCATCTGCTTCATCCAAGATGACCAATTTGAATTCGTTACCGGCGCTTTTTTTTTTTAAAAAAAAAAAAATATATTATATTATATTTTAAATCAAACAATCATCTCATATTAAAAAAAAAAATTCTTGGTTATTATATAAAATACCTAAATAATTTACGTGTCGAAGCAAATCCTTTGATATCATCACGAACCATGTCAATACCTCTTTCATCAGACGCGTTTAACTTTTTTTATCAAAAAAAAACTGAATGAAATATATGATATATGTAATTTAAATAATGCCAAATCATTTGTATCATTTCTTACTTCCATAACACTAGCATCCCAGTCTTTACCAAATAATTTTCTGGCGCAAGCTAATATTGTTGAAGTTTTTCCAGTACCAGGAGGACCATAAAATAATAAATGAGGGAATTGCCTTTCACTAATGAACTTATCAACTAAAATTTTTAATGAACATGCGAATTAGCAATTTTTTGGAAAAATCATTAAAAATTCATCGACACTTACGTGTTAAAGTAATATAATCCAATGATATAAGGTCGGATAAAGTATATGGGCGATATTTTTCTACCCTAAATTAAAAAGAAAATAAAATTGGAACCGTGTTCACTTAATAACTGATTCTATTACAATTTAACGACTCGTTAATATATATATATACACACATAAACATACCATGGTAAATGTTCTTTATCGTGTCTTTTTGATCCGGCAGTATTTTCTTTACCTTTACCTTTATTATTTGAAGGATTCGTTTCTTCAAAACTCATTTCTTTGTCAGACATTTTAAATGGAAACTTATGACAAAAGTAGAAGCTATTTTAAAGAATTCAAAGGCAGTTTCTTTACGCATACATTCGGTAGGAATTTATGGAATTTAGGATTATCAGAATGAATTTAATTGGAAGACGGACGTGTTAGGAATCCCGTGCGTGATTAAATACCACAATTGGAAAGTTCTCATGCTAACAATCACAACGCAGTAATTAGAAATAGAATACAATTGTTGAGTTGCCATTTCTGGATCAACCAATTTTTTGACTTTATAATAATAAATTAAAAATAGTTGGGTACATTCAAAGTTTTACCTAAGTTACTTTGATTTGTCAGTATAAAAGACAAACCTTTTACAATTTTAACGCATTTTTCAACCTTTTTGTTATTGAACAAAAGCTTGTAAATTTGCAACATGTGGTGGATCTATATAGTCGACACTTTGGAAGTTTTGGCTAATGTTATCGTTTCTGTCATTGCAATAATTTCTATTATTGTTATAGGTGAGATATTTTCTGTTGTGATCAAATTTATTTTTTAAATATTCCTTTGAAACTCATTGTTACAATTCCATAAATACGGAACAGCATGGATAGTTTTTTGGAAATTAATTCTCAGTCAGATTAGCTTTATCCGTGAAATTGCAGAACTTCCAAAACTTAATGACGGCAAAACACCTCAATCCTCACCATCACCTCATAGGGAAAAGAAAAAACGACAACCTTCCACATCATCATCCGCATCACATAGTAGACAACAATCAACATCACAAATAACGCGTGGTAGACATAAATCAATTTCTTCAGCACATAGTAGACATCAATCTCTACCTTTTCCATCACATAATAGACAGCAATCAGCATCGACACGACAAAAACTTAATAATATTAATGCAAATAATCCAATAATTCATCAAAGGACATTTTCTTCTTCCTCATTAAGCCATTATCAAGATGGTGGAAGTTTACCGATGAGTAGGAGAACTTCTAATAGAACTTATCAATCACAGGATGATGATTCAGATCATAAAAGTCAAAGTCATACAAAGAGTAATAGCAGAACTTCTATTAAAAATGGTTCAAGCAAAATTGTATCTGTTGAAAATGATGAATTTTTAAATTTTGAAGAAGGTTATATCTCATAATGGTTGTAATAATTAAGAATATACTATACTATAGAAATGAATTTCAAAGTACTTGGAATAATTTTAGAAGTTTTCAATTAGGAATGAAAATTCCAATTGAAAAAAGGCTTTGATGCTTTTAAAAAAGGTCCCTTTTAGTTTACCAAATTACACAATGTAGGAAAAAATTAGTGTATACTGGCATAGCATCATTATTATGCAATAAGGTAATTGGTATGATTACTGAGTCTCGGACTGAATTATTGCATAATGCTTCAATTCTTTGTTTGCCATTTGTCGAATTATGATAATTATTTATTACCGTATTAAGTTAAAGCCATAAATTTCGCCCCAAAAATTTCTATCTTCAAGTCCAAAAAGGACTTCCCCCCCTAAAAATACAAAAAAAAGTACAAAGTAACATCCTTTTGTTTTTGTTTTTGTTTTCTAAAAAACAATATTTTTACCAAAGGTCTTGAGGGAATCCACTAAATTCGGCAATTTCATCTGCTTTGTCTCCTGCTGAAGTTTCATATACAATTCTTAGTCTTAAACGAACATTCACCTAATGAATGATATACATGTTAGATCGATAAAATCAAATAATAATAATAAAAAAAAAATATATATATATATTTTTATATATTTTTTATATATATACCCTTTGTGGGTTGGCTACACGGATTGTTTGTGTTACAACGGCACCAGGTTCGATGGTTGTCGAAGACGGTGGTTGCATTTGTAATCTTTGTGTCTAAAATAAAAGAATAATAATTATCGTTAATCAATAGTGCGTTAAATTTTTTTATTTATTTAATGATATATTATTTACTTTCGGAACGGCAGCTTGAAATAATAGGTTCTGTACGGCTGATCCAACACCAACGTTGTGGAAGGTAACGTTAACGTTAAGAATATTAGGGTTACTTTGATCTTTGAAAGGCGAAAGGTTGATTTTGAGACCATTCTTATTATACGCTGTGAATTCTATAAAATAATTGGTTGGTTTGTTAATTTAATAAACTTTAAGTATAACTTTGTGAGGTTGAAAGTAAATATACCCGATGCATTTGCCTCTATTGAGCTAGAAGTAGAAGAGGTAGCCAAGTTATTTAAAGGATTTCCTGATTGTATGTTTTGAGCTGGGGCAATTAGTTTAGTCGAACCGAAAATATTCATAATATCATTTGCTGAACTTGATGTAGGTGGTGAGGTTGTTGAAATCAAATTATCCAAAGGATTTGAAGCTGTTGTATCTTGTATTAAATTAGATGTAAGGGTTGTGCCAGCATTAAAAAGACTCATAATATCATTCTTTGGATTTGATTGAGCCGTTGTTGTGTTAGCTGACGAGCCACCACCAAAAATATCTGCTAAAATATCTACGGTATTCTGAGAAGTTTCGGATGACTTAACTTCAGTGACGATACCATCACCATCAAGGTCCAAGAGTGACTATAAAATTTAATGCAATTAAATTTAATAAACATCTAAATAATATATACAACCTTCATATTTGTAAAATACTTGCCCCCCCATTATTCTTGAAACCACCAGCATTATCGCTGAGAGAATCATCGGCTTTATTAAAGAAAGTTAATTTTAAGAAATGAATAATCCAGGAAATAAATCATCGTAATGAAAACTTACTTGGGCGAGATGTTTCTTCTTTAATTTCCGGTATGGGCATCCTTTCCAAGACAGCTGAGCGGATATCTCCAAATTTAAACAAATTGGTATATTCTATAGCACGTTGCTGAATTTCCACTTCAATGCTAGTATTATATCCCTCAAGAATAGATTGAATTCTTTGTATAACTGACACGGATTTTAAACGTGAAGTTAATTTCATAAGAGCAGTGAGAACATATTCACGAGTGATCTGATTAGCGTACGGTCCAGCCAAAATAGATTCAAAAAGATCAATAACATCTGGTTCAGTAACCTATGAATAAATTTTTTCTTATTAATAAACATAAATTGCAAGTAATAAAGACATATACAATTTTATAACGAACCTCCTTTACTAATTCTTCTTCTTCAAAACATCCTCCTTTTATCAATATATCACCATATTCACCGATTACCCAAACACCGGCTAATGTTAAGGATTCCTATAGTATAATAAAATATCATTTTCATTATAATGGAATTTTTTCTTGGGCATAAGTTGATTTATTCGTTATAAATATATATACCTGAGAAATATCCGCTTTTAACGCAGCATATAATTTTTGCACAGTATAAGCATTCAATTCTGTTGTTTGGGCAATAAGTCGGATGAAATTCGATAATATTTCTTCGCGTACGTAGTTGCCTGCCTACTCCAAATACACGAAAGTTATATAAACGGCATAAGGAGAAAAGGCAAATTGTAAATATAAGTTCTTGACACACCAGCTTCAAGACTCTCAATACAGTGTCGATATGCCATCGTTTATTGGGCGCGAACCTAATAGACAATGCTAATGATTAGAGATTTTAATTAACAAGAAAAAGAAAGTTTCTTGTTAAACACCTATCAGCAGCCAAACAAATCTTTGTTGTCATTCCTTGTTTGAATTCATTATCGGCGACCTCCAAAAACGCGAGTAATTCTCGCGTTAATACTCTAACATTAGTCTCATTAATTAATGCAAACGAAAGTTCCAATGCTCGACGCCTTATTGAAATATCACCATCCCGCAAACAATCAAGTATAATATTCCTATGACGTTGAACAGCATTTGTATCTATTGATACTGTCTTATTAAGCGTTGTGAGTGCAACATATCTAAAGATAAAAACTCAAATTAATAAAATGAAATGAAAAAAATTATCAAATAAATAATTTTATACCTAATATTATTGTCTCTATTCGTCAGAAATTTGCCCAAAATATTTATAGCTAACACTCGAAGACCACTTTCCGATTGAATATCCATAATTGTTAATACAGTCTCATACAAAATTGAATTTCCAACATTTTTAGATGATTCTGTGTTTGTGGCCACCTTGAATTAATATCAAAAAAATGTAATTAATTTCTAATAATAATTTAGATAAACTAGTTTCTTGAATATAGCATTTTGTTACAGACTTGAGCCAGAATATCATTCATCGCCTCGCTTGCTTCAGCATCACCTTTACCCAAAATTCTCATTAGTCTTAATATTTTAACCTGTAAAAATGGATCTGTCACACCAGTTACATCATGTTCCGGAGAAAATCCAGCAGAGACCAAACTTTTCAAGTGACGAACTAGTAGTGGAACAGCCTATTTGTATGTTCGTTATCTTACATATTAATAAACGTTAATTTTGTAAAAAAAAAAAAAAAAAAATCATCGTAATATAATGGATGACCTTTCGAAATGTAATTAAAGTATCCGAATTTCTATGACACATTTCAGTAATAAGAGTGGTCGCTGTAAGCAAGACTCCATGATTTCTGTCGCTCAACAAAGCTTTTGCCTTTGGCAAGAAATTTTCTTGAAGTTCAGGAACTTTACGAATTATACGCATAGCGCACAATGCAGCCTTTTTAGATAATAAAGTCAAGTTAACTATAAATCAGATCAAATAACATAAATTGCAGTTATCATAATATACCTTCTTTCTAATATAAGTATTGGAGCTCCCTAACAATTTTTCAACTTCTGCACATAAATCACGTGCCATTTCAGGAGAAGATATATTACCCAGAGTACATAAAGCTAAACCTACAATGTACATATTAGAATGATTCATATCACTGTTTTCATGAAAAAAATTTTTGTGTCAAGGAATTATCGAGTTTTTTTTTTTACGATCATAGTTAATTTGGTTGGTAAAAAGGATACTTTTTCAAAGAATTCGTTACTAAGGTTAACACCTCTTGATTTTCATCTAATAAAAGCATAATCCCCAGGTATCCTAATCTCTTATCAGCGAATCTGTTTGATGCTACTAATTTTAAGCATTCGATTTGACCAAAGTGTGCTGGATAACCTAGCATGTGAATATATAACAATTTAGCCACATTGGAATGTCGTGCATCATTATTTTCTTCTCTGAAACTAGTACGAATAGCCGCTGACTCCTTCTGGATGACCGCCCTTTCGTCGGCGGCAGTTTTGCAGGCACGAATTGCTTTTATAAGGTCTAAAAGGAAAAGAGTAAAAAAAGTCTTAAAACTATTTAAATGTATTTTAATAATTTAGGGATCTTTTACCTTTGAGTCGATAAAATGGCATATCTGATATCTGTCCGTACTTTCTCTCGAAGTTAGAGAATAAACGTGGCTTTTTTCTTTTTTTTTAAAAAAAAAAAATTCATCAAAAATCCAGTGTATCCATGCCGATCCATCGATCCATGCGTTCAGATAAGGTTGGTTCAATAACCATATTTGGTGAATGATAAATACCAATTTCACGTGATGTACAATAAAACTATAAATATTTCAAAAACCTCATAAGCAAAATTCGTTTTCAATCATGAGCAACATATATATTCAAGAACCACATACGAGGTATTCCTCATTTTGACAAAATATCATTAATTTATCAATACATTGACTTCTTTTTTTTAGTGGAAAGATCATTCTCCATACCACATCGGGTGATATCTCTATAGAACTTTTTTCAAAGGAAGCACCTAAAGCCTGCCGAAACTTTGTGCAGCTTTCATTAGAGAGTTATTTTGATGATACGATTTTTCACAGGTACGCGTTCATACCTTAATTTTTGAAATAAACCAATTTACCAGACATTATTCTTTTTGAATTCTCTAGAATTGTTCACGGTTTCATCATACAAGGTGGTGATCCAACTGGAAGTGGACATGGTAATATTTTTATAAGTAATTTGAATTGTAAAATATAATAAATCAAAAAAATCTGTGATTGAAACTATTTCAAAATTTCTATAAATATTAAAAATATTAAGTTTGATATTTTATTTAATGTAGCATGTCATTATTTATATATTTTTGATAATTAAGTGAATTTGGTTTAAAAAAATTTTTTTTTATCTTGTAAATAATAAACTTTAATTAAATACATAATCTTTATAATTTTGAATTTATAGGCTTATAATTTAAAAAGATATTTGATTTTGGGATTTTAAAGGATTTTTTTTTGAATTCAAGATTATTGTAATACATATAAGATAAAATTCTGAAATTCCATTATATTTATAATAATTAAATATTTAATAATAAATAGTAAATTTTGAAATAATTTAATCACAGATTGAAGATCTATTACATTTTTTGCAATTCTATGATTCTGTTTTCACTATAACTATTTCCTTTAATCTTGCATTTAACAATCTTTTTTTAAAAAAAATTTAGGTGGGGAATCAATATATGGGGGGCCATTTGTTGATGAGTTTCATACAAGATTACGTTTTGTACGGCGTGGGCTTGTCGCTATGGCCAATGCTGGAAGAAATGATAATCGTAGTCAGTTCTTTATTACTTTAGATAGAGCCGATGAATTACAAAATAAACATACGATTTTTGGGAGAGTGGTTGGCGATACTATATTTAATGTATTGAAAATAGGAGAACTTGAAATTGATGAAGATGAGCGGCCACTCTATCCACCTAAAATAACCTCTACCGAAGTGGTTTGGAATCCCTTTGATGATATCATTCCCCGAATTACGGCTGCGGAAAAACTTGCCCAGATGGAGACAGCTGCTACCACGATTATTCAAAAAGAACCTAAGAAAAATAAGCTCAAAAAGTAAATACATTGTCGAAACGTAACTCGCATTTTATTTATTACGTTGCTCAAAAGTTACCTTTCTTTTATAAAATGTAGGAATGTCGCGTTATTATCATTTGGAGATGATGCAGGTGAATTTGAAAATGACCAGAATTTAAAAATAAAGAGTAGTCACGATTTAGTGGAAAATGATCCAAGATTGAGTAAAGAAGTTGCCGTCAAAGAGTTTGTAATAAGGAAAAATGATTCAGATGAATCCGAAAAAAAGGTAAGGAACTTCCTTAAAGGTATCAGCCTTGATTTATTTATATTTCAAAATCCCTAAGTTATGTCAATTTTATATTAAGTCGAAAGATGAACGATTGAAATTACAAGAAACGAAGGAAAAAATACATGATATTAGCAAGAATAAGAATGATGATGAATCTGATGAATCTGATGAAGATGTTGCAGAATTCGATCGAAAAATGAAAGATAATATTAGACAACAGCAAGAGTCAATGAGATTAAAGAAAGAAAGCAAAACGATCCAATTACCTAAAAAGTTGGTTAATTTCTTTGTATTCTTTTAAAGATTATTCATAAATGCAATTAATATTAAAATTATGTCTATTACAGAGAAGCTTTACGACAAGAAATCGAACAAGTTAAGCAAGATATTAGAAAATTAAATCGACCACGTGAATCAGAAGAGAATGAACGTGCCAAAAAGAAATCAAGAAAATCTTTTATACAACTTGAGAGACTAAGATATTTATCATCTGGTAAAGCAGTCCCCGCTAAAAGGAAGAAAGGGAAGGAAGTTGATGTAAGCAAAGATTTATATCAAAAGATTTTTTTTTTCATAAATTTTTTTTTAATAATGCTCGATTATGAATAGACGTTGGAAAAATTAAATGCTTTTCGAGCCAAAATTGAGGTTGCTGTTCCATCTGAGACTGAACCACCAGTAAAAACTGATGAAGATGCAGAACTTTGTATTCTTCATTCGGTACCTAATTGTTTATCTTGCCGAGATACGTACGGGGAACCACAGCAAGATGAAACGGATGAAGGATGGTTAGCACATCGCCTTGTATTTGAAAAGGATCATAAAGGCAAAGATTTAATGCAAAGAAGAGATGATCCGAATGATTATATAGTCATCGATCCATTGGCTCGCAAAAAACAAGCAGTAGAAGAAGAAAGGGAAAAAAAGGCACAAAAAGGTGGAATAAGTGAAGTGTTCATAAAAGATAGACGTAAAGAACGGGAAAGGCATTCAGATCATCATAGAGACAGTCATCATTATTCAAATAGAGATCAAGATAAAAGTCGATATAAGTCCAAGGATTCTAAAGATTCTAAGAATTATGAGAGTGAGAGATATTTAGACAAGGAGAGAGATCGTGATCGTAGAGATAGGCGGCGTTATTGACAGCAATGCACTTAAAATGTTGTTATTGTCCGAAGCATAGCGGAGGACACTTTACTACTATGACATTCAAATGCAAGGTCGTTCTGTCCGTCCTAATTTGGCAACCTGTTCGCCCAATGACTATTTGTTGTTTTTGTGTTACAAGTTAATTAAATTTATCATTTTAAAGTAATTATGTTACAAAATTTAATTGTATTACAAAAATAAATAAATTAAAGTTTCATTTAATTAATCTCGCGAAACCACGAAATTATGATAATAAACATTTAAAGTTTTTATTTAATTAATCAAACTCGCGAAACCACGAAATTATGATAAACATTTAATTAATTAAACAAACTCGCCGAACCACGAAATTATGATAATAACCATTTAAATAAAAACTATGATTTAAACATTTTATAATTTTAATAAAGTACTTTTTTTTTTTTTTTTTTTACATATTGTATCTGATAAATAATAAAAAAAATTAATAAATGACCTGTAATATAAATTTTTGTTATCCTGCATGTAAATTTACATTGTCGTGTTTAGGGTTCCTCAAAATCGAATCGAATCAAATATTTAAGCAATTTGAATTTGATTTGATTTTTTCAAATCGAATCGA